GGCGGGGACATTAAAGTCAAAATCTTGCCTAGGCAAAGCACTGGTTTACTTTAAGGTACTCACTGACCTGCCTATGGTCACTGCATTAGAAACAGGGCACATGCATTTGGAGGGGGGAGGGGGCAGGGTGGAATATAGGTAGTAAACAATATTTTACATAGGGGTACTGTTTCTCATGAGGCATCTGGGCTAAGAATGGCTTTTCTGTCAGCCAGTCAGGTATATGCAGGGTTATTAAAGCAACCAGTATGCCATCTCATTCTTATCAATAAGATATAACTTACCCAATATAAAACATCTGTCCAGCCCTCCATTGTAATACACTGAAATACAGTTAACATTGCAAAGGCAAAGTTGTCAAAGTTGGTTATGCCTCCGTTAGGTCCAACCCATCCACTTTTACATTCCGATCCATTGACAGGACAAACACGCCCACTCCCTGAGAACGCGCATGGCGCTGGCTCATCTTCGGCTAACATTTCTGTAAATCAGAATTCAAAACTACTGCATTTAAATTAATACATGATCAGAGTGCAATGAATTACAAGGAAAAAAGTAACTAAAGTGTACTATGAAAATTACAAGTTGGGTTATCTTGTGTTGCTTTTTCTGAATTCTGATGCTAATATAATGGCTTCAACCTCTTAATAAATAACGTAGAATGTCTGGCCCAAAAAAAAGTCACCACCTGGATTTCGGTCAGTGTTATGATCTGCAGTTGCTTTAGTTGGTCAGGTCCTGGTTTAGCAACGTTATGCCCCCAAAAACGGAGGTCAGCGGTCTACCTGAATATACTGAATGACCAGGTTTTTCCATCAATGAATTTTTTCTTCCCTAATGGCACAGGCATATTCCAAGATGACAATGCCAGGATTCATTGGGCTCAAATTGTAAGAAGAGTGGTTCAGGGAGCATGAGACATCATTTTCACCCATAGATTGGCCACCACAGAGTCCAGACCCTAACCCCGTTGAGACTCTTTGGGATGTGCTGAAGAAGAATTTACACAGTGGTCCGAATCTCCCATCATCATTACAAGATCTTGGTGAGAAATTAATGCAACTCTGGATGAAAATAAATGTTGTGACATTGCATTAGCTTATGGAAAGGATGCCACAGCGAGTGCGTGCCATAATCAAAGCTAAAGGAGGTCCAATGAACCATTAGAGTGTGTGATTTTTTTTGGCCACGTACAAGTACCAGGCCACGTACAAGTAGTGTACAGGCACCATATTGATTTAAATCACTTTAAAGGATAAATTCACTTTTGCAAATTATTGTTAATTATCATTTAATCAGTGGCTGATCTGTACCAAGAATTGCCTAGAGGCACTGCACTTAAAGTGTTTCTAAATCCAAACACAAAAAAATGTAATGTATTGTAGTTTATAGTCAGGAGATGTGGTGGTTGCATTGGTCTTCTTTTTCCAGCATTTTTTCCTTTATTTGAACCTGGTAATCCTGTGAATAACATACTTCTTGTCCCTGTGGCTACACTCACTCCGCTGTATCTATGATGGCAGCTGTAGTCAGGGCAGCCATCAGAAATTTCGGGGCCCCTTACACAGCTTTAGGCCTGGGCCCCCCCCTGCACCGCCCCCCCGCCGCCACACTGAGCCAGTCACATTAGTCTCTGCACAGAGGAGCTTACACTCTAAAATTTTTGATATAGTAGTTTTTTTAGGTTTCGCGCACATGTGCAATTTTAAGGCTTAACATGTTTGCTTTCTTTTTACCCGACATGACCCCGCCTTTTATATTTTACCAAAAAATTGGGTAATAATGTTTTATAATTTATTATAGGGGAACAGTTTGTTTGTTTTTTAAATTTCGGTAATATTAAACACCACCAAACGAAAGCTCTATAAGTCCCCCAAAAAATGGTACGAAATTAGTTTCAGTACAGCGTTGCGTGACGGAATAAATGTCATTCAAAGTACTGCAGCGCTAAATACTGAAAAATGGCGGGGACAGGAAGGGCGTGTAACACTGCGGACTTCAAGTGGTTAAAAAAAATAAAATAATTTTTTTATTGTTACTTTAATTTTTACAATTTTTTTTCACACTCAGCTTTTTTGCTATCACATAGGGGGCTAACAAGTCCCCTATGTAATAGCAAATATAATGTGACAGGTCCTCTTTATGGAAACATCAGGGGTCTTGCAGACCCCTCGTGTCACCTAGGGACCCCAAAGAAGCTGATGAGATCTGCTTCACCAGCTTCTTCTTCTGGCTCTAGGAGCCGGAGACTGTGCCCAGTGACACCAGAAGTGATGAAATGCTCATCATTTCCGGGTCCAGCGATCGGAGGAAAGGTCCGCGGCTAGAAGCTGCTGATCTCTCCTTCGATTTGTCAGGGGAGACCCTACACACCGGCCCCGGGCTCACACGAGGGACAGATGAGCCCGGGAAGCTGACGCCAGTACCGGCGACTGCAGAGGGGGACACGGCGCCGTATTGTACAAGCGATCCGGCGTCTATACAGACGCCGGATCGCTTGTATTTAAACAGCAATCATGGTTAAAAAAAACACACACACACACATAATGAAACACACATATCACACACAT